CCAATGATCTATGATTGAAGTTACTGTTCCGGAGCTTTCCTGCTCGTCCTTCCTTGTTTGATAGTTGGCTGTCAGTTTACTGGCGTTATTTGTAGTGAACAGTGGTGCTACCACAGTCAGTGCGCCAGGACGGCACCACAGCCGCGTTAGCTGTTGTGTGCTTCCGGCTCACTCAGGACACGGCCTAGCAGAAGTGCCAAGCAGCACCAATGGAGTCCAGTCCAGCTCTGGCACCAATGGAGTCCAGCTCCCGCACCGCCACTCCAGCATCCTTCTCCTTCCTCCCCATGAGTAATCCGTGATCCGGCGGCCCCCACTGCCACCGCACATGAAGACGACAAACGTACCGGCCGCGCGTCCCCATCCGACCTAAAACAATTTTTCCCGTCAATGTTGATGGCGCGCGCGGGTCCATTGCGGTTCGGCGCCGGCCGGCCTCTGTAACCCTCTTCCGGCATTCACTGCCACGACGGATTCTGACGTCTGAGGCAGGTGCATTCGGGACGGGATAGCTCGGTGTCATGGCTGTAAACACCTAACGGCCATAATTCTTTTTCTTTTTCTTGAGAAAGACACTCGACAGTATTTCATACGAAGTATATATCAAGAAAAATAATATTAGTACAAAAAAACAACTTGACATAAAATAATCTCTAAAAAATAAGAGTATATTGAAGATCAAATAAGTCATCTTCTTCCTTTGATCGTACATTGTCTATCGAAGATTGAAAAATGTACCGAAGTGACAACAAAGGAAAGGGACACCTACAAACACTCGTGCCATACAAGGCTTTGAAGACTGCAAAATCCACTCGACGCTGACAACGAGATTTAGAATCCACTGAAAGAACATTGACTCGAAAAACCCTCTAAGAAACACAGGGTTACAAACCATCACCATCAGATTAGAGTGTTGGAGATGCCGGACATTACAATAGAACAAACCAAAAGAAGAGGTCGAAATCATCGTGAAGAGAGCCAACTGACTGCTTCCTCTGATAAAAAGACCAACTACCACCAAGATCTGAAGAGAATGAATAGATCTGATAGACCAAACTCTCATTGGCCCTTTGTTAACGTCGGATCGAAGTCAACGAGGTAAGGAGAGGCCGGAGAGACCATATTTCAATGCGTCATCGTCGCCGCCACCTCGTCAATGATGCTAGAAACTAAACCCTAGAGAATAAGGATCAACGAAAAACTAAAAACTACAGAGGGATCGGGCTCCCACTCCTCTGGCCATTGGTGAGGTCACCGGATGGAAGAGAGGAGGGGAATTGAGACGTTCCTATGGGCAAGCGCGGCGGTGGTTGAGAGAGTTCACGTTTTGGGAGAGCGAGGGCATCTCTCCAATATCTTGTCTTGCTGCTGAACGGGTGGGCAATAATGGCCATAATTCTGTGTGTGTGGTAAGGGTTTTTTAGACGAAAGAAGAATTATATTAAATAATAGTTGGGTACATCATCACGTTACAAGCACTCTATAATACATTACATATATTCAGAAACTGATTTTCATCTATATTGTACCCATGATGTGAATAGCTCCAAATCTCAAAACCAAACCTATATGACACTTCGTATGGATGACTGCACAGGCAAACACTCGGCAAAAGGCCTAAGAACAAATGCCCAGTAAACGACGACCAACATTCCTGCACGAGGAGTTGAGAATTTTCTTCTTTCTTGTGTCTTTCTTCTTCTTTCTGCCACCAAAGAATGAGGAAGACTTATCTGAAACTTATTCTCCCTAGTTCTTCATCATGGCCAGATCTAACCACAATAAACAGAGAAGAGAGCGGAGAAAATTATTTCATGGCGGCAACATCATCTTCGCCTTGATGTCACTGTTTGGAAAGAAAAGTCTCCATGTTGCTGTGCCGATGAAGTTGTTGACGCCGTAGTTGTCGCCCTCATCTTCCACAGAGCCTCCATGGAGAAAACGATTCCATCCTTCCCTCTCACCGTCGCTGGAGAGGATGAGAAGATAAATCCCCAATACCAAGAAACTTAGCATGGAGAGACCCTAAATCTAAGGACTCGATCTACTAGAAAACTTATTAAAAACGATGGATTTCCACTCCCTCCAGCCTCTAGCGAGATTGAAAGATACTAAATGGCTAGAGAGGGGTGAATAGCCTATAAAATTTTTATAAAATATTAGAGCAACTTTATTAGTACAACAAGTGGCAATAACAAGTTTTGCTCTAGCTCTACTTAGTGTTGCAAGCCACCTATCCATTCAATTCTAGTTAATTATAATCTCTATGGCACTCAAGAGCTGTCTCTAGTTCTATACTAGTGAGCTAGCTAATTAAGACAACTAAGAACCTCTAGTTACTTTACTAGGCTACACTAGCTAAACTAGAGCTACCACTACACAAGTAAATAGGAAAGTAAATACAAGGGAGTGGTAGAGGGGTTATATCGAACCGGCAAGTGACAATCAATGAATACTAATAGAATTTAAAGGGGACAATTGACACACAATTTTTTTTCCCGAGGTTCACTTGCTTGCCGACAAGCTAATTCCCATTGTGTTGACCGTTCACTTGGTGGTTCACGAGCTAATAGGCGTCACAAGCCTAGACTTACACAAAGGCGCTGCAAGAACCTACACAAATGAGGGTACTCAATGACACGAGCAATCCACTAGAGTATCTTTTGCGATCTCCCACGCGGATAAGGTCAATAACCCCTCACAATGATCACCAGGAGTAGCCACGAATAATCACCAACTCGTGCCAAAGCTCCTCCGCTGCTCCAAGCCGTTTAGGTGACGGCAAGCACCAAGAGCAATAAGAAAACCGCATCAAATCGATCCCCAAGTACCACTAGGTGCAATCACTCAAGCAAATGCACTTTGAATCACTCCCAACTCACTTGGATGTACAATCAAGCAAGAGATCGAGTGGGAGAGATTTGGCTTAGCTCACAAGGATGCAACAATGATCAAAATGTTCAAGAGAGTGAGCTAGAGCCAGCCAACATCTATTTTTAGAGCCTACATGGCTCAAGTAGCCGTTACCCCTTCGGAGGGCCAACCGGACCGAGAAAAATGGCTCCAGACCGAGGGGTTGGACCAATCACCCCGGGTACGATTGCTCTCCCCTTTGAATGCTGAGCCGCCACTTGTCTAGGTAGCAATTGGATCAGCCAACGGCTACTGACAGCCTCCGGACCGGACTGGCACAATCATCAACTGGACCATGCACAACCCCAGTCCGGAGCTATCTAGAGAGCTCCTAGAGCGCACAAAATCAACTAGATCAAGTCCGGTCCTAGCCTCCGGACCAACATCACCTGGGTCCGGTTCAAATTAGCTAGTCTCTGTCTAATTGAAATAATTCTTCAGAGCCGCCACTTGGTTCGGACCGACTCCGTAAAAGAGTTCGGATCACACCGGTGCGCCATGTGGCCACTGCACACCAACCGGATTGAGGCCCATTGGTCTGGATCCCCTGCCACCAGGGTCCGGAGCACACGCGAGCGCACTGTCCACTTAGGGTTAGGTTCCGGACCCATGCACCATGGTTCGGACCCCTTAAACCCCAGAGTCCGATTCACCTTTTTCAATTGTTTTCAACTCTTTTCTTCAACCCGTGCTTCCAGGTGCTAACCGCAAAATGTCTCACCATTTGTGCACATGTGTTAGCATTTTCAAGGGTTTTAAGTTAGCACACTAGGTCCTAATGCATATGCATGAACAATGTCAACTAGTGGCACTTGATAACCGCATTAACCATGACTTTTTCCCTCTTCATAGTACGGTATCTATCCTAAACCCAATCACACCCCCTATGGTGTCTTGATTAACGAAACAAAAAATGGCTATATAGGTTATACCTTTGCCTTGATCCCATTTTTTATTTTTCTCTTTCTTCTTTTTCAAGTTAGAGCACTTGATCCATCTTTTGGCCACCTCTATCACCATGAATGCCATCTTGCTCCACCACATGGATTTGGATCACCCTAACTCATCTATACACTTAGACAAAAGATGGATCATCTATACCACATGGATGGTCCAATAGCTTTCATCAATTATCCAAAATCAAACTACGGCTTTCAGAGATGCCGGAGGGGAAGGGAGGGGGACCAGTGGTGGTGGAAGGCGGGGGGGAGGGGGGCGCACTAGGGCCAATTAGGATATAAAGGTTGAGCTCGTGTGTGGCGAGGGTTGATGCATTATTACTGTACTACGCACATCTCTGCTAGTAATATACTGTATATAGCACCCTTTTTTTGAGTAAGACTATGGGAGGAGAGGATCCCATCTGGAATTTTATTAGAAAGAGATCGATCGTTCAGTTACATAATGCCAGTAGTTAGAGAATGGAGATTTCTACAGCTTTGCAGGTACAAGAGCCAAGCCTAAACATTCTCAGGATTGCTCGTTTTCTTCAATACGAAACGTCTCTTCCAGGTCGAGAGGTCGTCAATTACTCTGCCAATGACCTGGGTAGCAGAGGATCGTTCTTGCCGGAAGACCTCGCCGTTCCGGGCGTCCCACAGACGCCAGAGTATAGTAAGCAGAATAGAAGGTCACAGGTCGCTGTCTAATCCCTGGGGAGTGTTTAAGAGCCAGAGCTCTTCATCAGACACAGATGCAGCGGTATTGACCCGTAGTCTTTGCCATATCGAGGATATGGATGGGCACCTGAAGAAGATATGGTGTCTATCTTCAGCTCTGTTTGAGCACCGTTCGCATATATCATCTCTTAGCACATGCTTACGGAAGAGGTTGGACCTAGTGCTGAGTCTTTCTTTGAAGTAAAGCCACGAGAAAATATAGCACCCTTTTGATATTATTTCGCTACCTCTGGCAGGGTACGGTCCTCGTGTATATATATATCAACATGTGGTTCCATACTTCCATCCTCGCATGCATGTGAGGGCCATAGCTCACTGTCGCATGCCCTGCTCTGCTTGACAGCTTGAGCACCACACGCATCAATCAAACTGGCCATAACAAGGAGCGACAGCTCCCTGCATCCAGCCATGGCGACCACGACAACGACGGTTGGTAGGAATGGAGAAGGGGAACAGAAGAGGAGGGAGAAGGGAGGCTTCAAGACCATGCCATTCATACTTGGTGAGGAAATAGCTTAGGCCAACATAATACACATGTAGCCAGCATATTTGCAATCAGATGATATTTTGAACAAGCAATGAGCGAGAAATCTAGACGATGCATTCAATGAGTGATGTCGCCGCGCAGTTCTTGCCTTGTTTGGACGTTTGATGATGGCCCATCTAATGGCTTCTCCGTACGATGCAGGGAACGACATCTGCGACCGGTTCGCCACGGCCGGCTTCGGCGCCAACCTGATCACGTACCTGACGAAGCAGCTGCACCTGCCGCTGGTGGAGGCGTCCAACCTCCTCACCAACTTCGGCGGCACGTCCAGCCTCACAACTATCCTCGGCGCGCTCGCCGCCGACTCCTTCGCGGGCCGCTTCTGGACCATCATCGCCGGCTCCGTCTTCTACCAGCTCGGCATGCTCGGACTCGTCGTGTCCGCGCTCCTCCCTTCGCTACGCCCCTCGCCATGCTCCGCTCCTCCCGGCGGCCCTGCATGCTAACGCGCCTCCGGGTTGCAGCTCACCGTGTTGTACCTCTCCCTGCTGTGCACTGCCTTCGGCGCCGGCGGGCTCCGGCCCTGCGTCGTGATGTTCGGCACCGACCAGTTCGACCACGTGTTGGGGGAGCAGCAGCAGAAGCAGGTCACCGCCGAGGCGGCCAAGGCGGTGGCGGAGCGGAAACGTCGCTACTTCAACCTCTACTTCTTCATGATGGGGGTAGCGGCGCTGCTGGCGCTGACGGTGGTGGTGTACATCCAGGACAACGTGGGGTGGGGGTGGGGGTTCGGCATCCCGGCCATCGCCATGTTCGTCTCCATCGTGGTGTTCGTGATCGGGTACCCGCTGTACGTCATGCTCAAGCCCGGGGGCAGCCCGTTCACGCGGCTCGCGCAGGTCGCCGCCGCCGCGTTCAAGAAGCGCAACGTCGTCGTACCGGAGGACACGGGCATGCTGTACCAGGACAAGGACCTCGACGTCCTCATCTCCACCAACGGCAGGCTGCTGCACACCAACCAGCTCACGTGAGTCCGTGTCTCTAGCTATTTTGTCGTGTTCTGTATGTTTCGACGTGTCCTATACACACCTACTGACCTAACCCCCGTAAGATAGCCTCCACGTGTTGTGCTATTGCATTGGCGCCTGCTTGCCTGAACGGTACTAGACATGCCCGCAACAGGTGTGGTGGTTACGCTATCTCGTGCACATCACTTGAGGATGCTTACATTTAACTCTGGTTCACGGTTCTTTGTACTCTACTCGCTACGTCCTATAACACAGTATATTCTAGAGATTCTAAATAGATAATACAAAAGACATATATACTGTTACTTTTTTTAATTAGACGTCAACATCAATATGATTAATGAAGATTGGTTGATAAATAGCAAGTAACGACATACTAATAAATATACAAAAAGTTGATATGATATTTAAAACAAAACTATCTCTCGTCTCCTAACAAAATCTCTTGTATTTAGATACAAATATTGAATGCTTAGGTGCACGACATTATATGACGGAGCGAGTAGGTTCGTTCACTGCTCATTTTCAGTTTTTTTATTTGGAAGTTGTCACAATCACAACCCCAATAATACTCGCTGTGCTGACTGCTCGTGTTTTGTTCTTTTTTTTTCAGAAGCTGTCACAACCCCAATACTCCACTTTCCACTAGCATGGTAACGACATTGAGACGAAAACTGTGTGTTAATTTCTCTTTTCCTCTGTGAATTAAGGTTCTTGGACCGGGCAGCCATAGTGACGCCGGGCGACATCTCCGCTTCCGGGCAGCCGGACCTGTGGCGTCTGTCGACGGTGCACCGTGTGGAGGAGCTCAAGTCCATCGTCCGCATGCTGCCCATCTGGTCAGCCGGGATCATGCTGGCCACCATTGAATCGCACAACGGCACCTTCATCATCATCCAGGCGCAAACCATGGACCGGCACATCACCCGGCACTTCGAGATACCACCAGCGACCATGTCGATCTTCGGGACTGCGGCCTTCCTCGTCAGCTTGGCGCTCTACGATCGCGCGTTCGTGCCCCTGGCACGCCGCGTCACGGGCCTGCAGTCTGGGATCACCTACTTCCAGCGCATGGGCATCGGGCTCGCCATCCACATCCTCGGCGTCGCCACGGCCGCGCTCGTAGAGACCAAGCGCCGCGACGCCGCGGTCGACCACGGGCTCCTGGACAATCCTGCTGCCGTCATCCCGCTCAGCGTGTTCTGGCTGGTGCCGCAGTTCGCCGTCCACGGCATCGCCGGCGCCTTCTCGTCAGTAGGGCACATGGAGTTCCTGTACGACCAGGCGCCCGAGAGCATGCGCAGTACTGCCGCCGCGCTCTTCTGGCTCGCCAGCTCCTTCGGGAACTACCTGGGCACCGTGCTGGTCACGGTGGTGCAGCGCACCACGCGCGCCCGCGGCAACGACTGGCTCCAGGACAACATCAACCGTGGCAGGATCGATAACTACTACTGGCTCGTCACCTGCCTCATGGTGCTCAACCTTGGCTACTACCTCATCTGCTTCCGTTTTTACACCATGAAGCCTCTGGAGATGGCAGACGAACAAGACGATCGTGATGGAGAATGTGAGCTCTCCACTCTACAGAAAAATGACACCGGTGCTGGAGGTGTGGTGTAAGGTTAATTTGCGGGCAATTAATTAGGGTGGGCTTTAGTTATTAATATATACTAGATGATACCAACTCGTTGCTGCGGGAACTTCGTAGCATTGCACTGCATCATGGACCAACTTTTACCGCTCTTTTACGATGGTCGGGAAAGTACTATTGGTACCTTAGGTACTTTTCATTTTTTTCTATTTCCTAACTGATTAATTGAGGATGATTATTTATAGAGTATATTGGTAATTGAGCTCATGTCTCCTGCTCCTGCTATTGAACGCTACAGACCCAAACTCCCGATTGCTCGCCACCATTGCACAAATCATACAGAGTAGGTTCTAATTGTTAGAGCGAACGTGCAGTGATGTCCACTTCCACGGACGCGGCGCACTCCTCGCCGTGGACCACGGCCAGAAGCCCAGAACCTCGGCGCTGCGGAGTTCGACCTCGACGAGGCCGGCTGCCTGCTGCTCCTCACCCAGCCGTGCAGCAGCCCAACCCGCGAGACCATCTGACCATGCCGCAGGTACCGCAGATCCTGTCCAAGGTCTCCCCGCCGCAAGGGTCTGTCCACGGTCCCGAGCTCTCCCACAGCTACGGACGGAGGGACGGGGTGAGAGGCAGTGTTGGCTGCTCTGTGCTTGTACGTGTAGGGACAGATGCGTGGTGGTGGCGGCGCAACCGGCGGCCGGCGGAGCGGTGGTGGCGACGGTCCGGGTGCTCCAGCCACCAAGCCATGGGGAGAAGAAAGGAGAGTCAGTACGAGTTTAGATAGAGTGAGGACGGGTTCAGATATATAGAGACCGAGTGGGATGGAAAATCTTAGTTTTGCCCTTCAATCAAGAAACTAAAATTATGGATTTAACCTCAGCCGAAAAAATAAATATAGAAAAAATCCAGCAATGGTTCACCTATTTTGGTACTGTCCCCGCCAATTTCGTACTTCTTAGTACTTTCACATGAATACCTCCTATTTTTACACGGTCCAATATCTCTCAATAGATGGTTCATATTTTTTCTAACCATTGCAAAATTTCTTTATATTAAAAAGAATGAAAAAAATAGAAGGAATAATTGAACTACCATGCCTTATCCACAGCCAACCCACTAAGCTGGTAATGCCTAGTTTCTGAGATGGGCTATAAATAGAGTGTCTCTCTTGGAACCTCTAACTTATATCCACAATCATTTGAGCTCAAGAAACCTCTCCACACTCAATTGCTTGCCATTAGTTGCATTCTTGGAGTGATTCATCAGCCTTTGGATCTTTGAAATGATATTGCGAGTATAGCACAAACTTGCACTGTTTTAAGAATGATGTAGATGAAACTTTTAGAAAGCACTAGATAACGATGTTGAAACAACCACAAAAAGAGAATGAGATTTTGGTAAAGTCGGTCACAAATTCTATAAGCACAACTCAGAAATAGTACAATTCATTGTTGCTCTTTCACAACTCGTCCCTCTAGGACCATTGATTTTTGCCCTTTACAAGCCTTGAATAAGACCCTTGTGTTAGCTTAGTTTAATGCCTATGGCCTCCACCCTATTTTTATATAGTCTCCTTCAAGAACCCATACATGCAAGTAGGAGCCCTACTCCTCTTAGAATTCTCCAAGACCGATACACCTAGTAGGATTTTACACAGGTCCTAATAGAATCAGAAACCATAGCACACTCTCAGATCATATTACTTTGAGTTACTATACAACACAACGTGGGTGGGGGAGGGTGGGGATTGAAGCTGCTAGGCCAATTGGCTAGGGTAGCTTCTGATTTAGGGCCTGTTTGGTTTCGCCCACTAAAATTTAGTGGTCCCTAAAGTTTAGTGATCTCTCTAAAGTTTAATGACCCATGTTTAGTTCCACCCACTAAAACAACTGTCATATGTACACTTTAATCATTTTTAGCTACCCCTTGGTGACTAAAAGCCACTAAACTTTTGACCCCTGAATTTTAGTGGGGTGTTTAGCATTTTAGTAACTAAAAGTGACTAAAGTTCACTGAACTTTAGTAGGGGTGAACCAAACGGCCCTGAGCAGGCAGATGGCAGGCACGCGGCTAGGCAGCCAGCTAAAAGCTGTAGTGAGCTAACAGCAAAATGAAAAAAAAGAAAGGCTTTCTCTTTTATTGCAAGGAATCAAACAACTTCAAACTCAAGCGAATCCAAGCAAATTTGAATCTGCCTAATATTTCTTAGCTGTCGAGTTCTGCTATAACGTCGCTACAGGCAGAGCCTGGCTAAACAGGGGCTTATTGGGGGTCCGGCTTCTTTACTGCGTGGCGGGAACTATCGAAGCTAGTACAAACTAACTTCATCTCTTTGCTAATCCATTTTACGATGAGAGAGAAAACAATACTTCATGGTAATTGCTACAGAGACACAAGGACACGGTGATGCTCAAACAGAGCCTAACATCTTCCTTTGTTCAGCGGTTCAAAAAAACGTTACTAATGTCGACATATGTGGAAATATATGCGCCACTCGAGTTTTGGATATATACGAGCAACTGAACTTCTTTCCTTCTTTCCTTATTTCTTTGAAGAATTTATCTAGTAACTTTTTGGCTCAGCCGCCATTAAACAATATACGTATGCATTTTCTGTTAGTCGTATCATTTTCTTTGGAAGCATATTTTTACTGCATCAAACAAAACCTTCGCCATGATTGACAGGCTCATTTTTTTTAAACGAGATTAAACTCTGCTTTTAGAAAGCAACAGGTACAAAGTTTGCTGGGGTTACCAGCAGCATTATACCTCAATCCCTGGGATTACCAGTAGCGTTAGAGCACACGAAATGGCAAACTACTACAGCCTAGAAGCCAAACAGAACAACGCTTAAGCAAGAGTTCAAACACATCAGTAGCAGAAGTACTATTGGGCCTAAAATTCTTCAACCAGCTCAATATTGCCTCCAGTACTTGTGTAATCCGCTCCCTATCCTTCTCCTTCAACAACGCGCACCATCTCTGCATCAAAGATATGGCAGTATATATGACATCAGTGGACGCTTTGGGGAAAACTTTTTCAATAACCATCTTATTTCTAGTAATCCACAGCGTCCATGCAAAACCTGCAAAGAGAAAAAGAACCAATTTGCTTGGCAGAGACCCCATGCCCTGCAGCCAAGAGCCTAGCAGATCATCTATGGAAGAAGGACAGGAGTCCAGACCAAAGACACTACAGATGATACCCCAGGTCAGCTTAGCAAGATGACAATTCAAAAGGAGATGATTTATGTGTTCTGGACAATCACATAGACAGCAATCAATGTCCCCTTTCCACCCCCTTTTGACCAAATTACCAGCCACCTGTAATTTGTTACGAAACACTTGCCACAAAAAGAATTTGATTTTCAGAGGTATTCTACTTTTCCAAATCACCCCGGCCACCTTGCTAGGGCCTTCCCTATCAGTCAAAAACCAGTATAAAGACTTGCGCCATGTTCGCTTGGCTTATAATCCGTACTTTTTCAGCGAATGAACAATATTTTTCTCTCACAATAAATCAGTCAACAGTACTTTCAGCCATGGCTTATCAGCCAAGCGAATAGGGCATTGGTAGAAAACTGGTTTTTTTGCTCCAGAGCCCATAAAACAGCATCAGCCTCATCAGACTGAGGATAGCACTCTTGCAGAGACTCCCCCAACTCTAACCAACTGTTATATTCTTGTTCAGATAAGGATCTTTTGAAATCCATAACCCAAGAATCCCCATCCCAACAATTGGCTACAGAGCAGCCAGTGTTCCCCACCATTTTGAAGACATTCTCATAAGCAATTTTCAGTGGGACATTTTGGGCCCAACAATCCAACCAGAATTTGCAATGTCTACCATTCCTAATTTTAAACACAGACCCCCATTTAAAGAGGTGTTTCACCTTTTGTAAGTCATGCCAAAATTGTGAAACCCCTCTAGTTTTTGAATCAGAACCCCCCTCACCCATATATTTTGCCTTGACAAGCTTAAACCATAGCTCATCTGGCTCTTGGTGAATTTTCCAAATCCATTTGACTAGGAGGCAGTCATTCATTATTTAGTATTTATGATGCCCAGGCCTCCCTGGTCCTTGGGTCTAGAGACCATTTCCCATTTGGCCACGTGGTATTTAAACTTCTCATCAGCCCCTTGCTAGAGAAATTTTGCTCTTATACCATCCATCTTCTTATGTACCCCATCTGGGAGCCAATAAAAACCCATGCAGTAGATTGGGATTGTACCAGACTAGTAAATTTATACGATTGTCGCACTGCTCTGGAAAGACGATGGTAGCATCCAAAAGACACGAGGATTTATACTGGTTCAGGCCGAAGCCCTGCATCCAGTCTCAGAGATGATCGAGTACGTGTTTCTCGCTTGAATGCTCTGAAGTTCTTACAATTGGGGGGGTGCAAGAATGGTGTAAGAGGTAGGAGAGCTAGAGTTAGGAGATGAACTGCCCGAAGGGAAGCTTCAGAAGTCTGGAGGTTGTGAGGAATGTGGAGATTTAGAATGAATCCGATCCTCTGGGAAGGATGCCCTGGCTACCCTTATATAGAGTCTGGGGCCAGAGCATGTACAAAGAAGAAGGTTCTCTCGACCGAAGGGTCATGAGCCTGAGGGAGAGGTCTAGTTAACTTGGCTTGCAAGCTACACCGTTTTGTGGAGTACATCTGGGCGTGGTTGTCGTCATGGTCTTGTGCCCACATCGCGGTAAGGTGTGGCATGTTGCTACTGTGCCGGCCGTGGCGGCACTGTAGGCATGGTGGTGGTTCACCAGCCATCCTGTGCGATGTGGTCTCTATTATGGCCTTCGTCATTGCCTCCTGTTCTCCTATGGGCGTCGTACCAGAGTTCATAGCCGCCCCCAGGTCGTCGATTGCCTTGTTAGTCTTGTTGAGTTGGTGGCCACAATCCTGGGCTCCGAGGTCGTGGCTCCCGTTAACTTGAATGGCCTCTAAGTCAAGGCCTCCATCGTGGATCCCATCCAGTAGTGGGTAGGATCGTACGCATATCTCGTCGGACCATATTCGAAC